AAAGTTTCACTAATTTAGCGGAAGGACTGATGTGTGGGCTATGGATCACTTGAAGCTCTTTGCGGCGCTCTTTCGGCAAACTCTTGTCGTCCGTCACTTCGGCCACAATAGACCTGACATTAGGGCCAAAGTGGCGCTCAATGTCATCGATAGTTGTGTCCGTGTCCTCAACCGTGTCGTGAAGGACAGCGGCGCAGAGAGTGTCCACGTTTAGACATTGTGCCAATTGCACCAAGGTGTTCATCACCCCTATCGGGTGGTTTATATACGGTGTTCGTCCGTCTTTGCGGAGCTGATCCCTGTGAGCGACGGCCGCGAAGTTGACGGCGCGGACCAGTCGTCCCAATCCCTCGTCGCTGTCACTCATATCTGTATTACTCGTCATAATTACCACACTTTGAATGCGATCAACAATTGTGTGATTGTTTTGCAACAAAACTTTTGTTTGAAGGCATGAAAACATGTGACAACTTATCATTCATTTACAGACAATACGTTTGCATAGAATTGTGTTTTGAATTGAATTTATGAATGAATTCTTGATTCTTGAAGTTAAGAAGTTGTTGCCATTCATTGATAATTAACTCAATCACTAACTAAAATCCCAATTAAATTAATGTAGATTTACTTTATATAACGTGTATTCGTATAAACAGTATTTAATAGTATTGAACACACTTTGAAAGTCATTAACAGTATCTATAATATTCAATACTCAATAAATAACGAATTGAAAGCCAATTATAAAATATAGAATTGTATATAGAATTAAATATAATTTTATATTATAATAAAAAAAAAGTTAATTTTTATTAAAAAAACATGGTATCTTGGCAACAACCTGGACAAATGTAACCAGGTTTATTTTTGAAAAACTTCAATTCTCACAAAAAATTCTGTGTTTCAACAAAAATTTTATTAAATTAAGCAATTGTTTTGAAGATACTGTACAGGGTGTATATGATACTTAGTACTATTGCATGTAATAAAACTTTAATTTTAATTTATATGAAAATTCAATAAGTCTGAAAATTCAACACATTTTATATTAATAGAGTATTAAATGAACTTTATT